CTAGTGGATCCTTTGGTGTATCATTTGAATCACTCATCCATGTATTATTACCATTGCTACGACGTTTGTTGTCCTCATGTGTGAGTAGACTCCTAGTTCTCAGGGATATGGATGAACCTTGGTATGTGTAGGATCTGAAACGTTATTGTGGAATGAGATCTCCTGTTGAATGCTTAGTTTAATAACTTCGTGAATGTTGTGAAGGGGGCCCACTCAACATTTATGCCGTGTGGCCACGAAGTATATCACTGTCATTGTAAAGGTTTAGGATGCGGAGGTAATTCGAGGTGACAGTAAAAGCCTACTGCTCCTGGTCTTTGCAATTGACCAGGGAATTACGAAGAACCCTTAGAGAGGTCGCGTCCACGGGGAAACCCTTAATTATCATAAGTTTAACCCTCTGGGGAGACTATGATGGTGGCGTGCGTGGCATGAAGTCTACCATGAGTAGAATGTGTACTGTGCCCGGCTCCACCTAGCATAATCGCCAACAGTGTCTCAAGTATCCGGTGTATACTATGCTTATGCATATGTGCATTTGAAACATACCAATGAAGATTCTAGACTTCCTGAGAATGCCTTTTTATTATGTTGTTTCACTAGTCATCACAATCCCTACACATCATTTATTTTATGTTATTTAGCCACCAGTTACAACACTACTGAACAATCATTTATATCCGCTCTCACTCTGCTTTAAGTCTACAATTATTTGCAGGCACAAAAATACATAATTCCCTACAAGAGGCAAAAGTATGATTCATGTGCTCCCTGTGGGATCGATACTCTTACTTTGAAAAGGCTACAACTAAACTCTATGCACTTGCAGGTTATCAAGCTTTTTCTGGCTCCGTTATCGGGGAGCTGAGTGCTTTTGGGATTTGTCTTAAGTATTGAATTATTTTGTGTCTTAATGATTTTTGCAGATAGAAAGCAACCATGGTCCTTCAAGAGCAAATTTGTCAGGTAGAAGTGGAATTGGTTGCAGGACCACCTCGAGGAGAGAATGTTATATTAGTTGGTCCTGACCTACCTAGCAAAATATATGAGATAAACCCTCGTTTGATTGCTATGGTGAAAGAAAATATATTCCAAGGTTATGAAATTGAATGCCCATATAAGCATATTAAAAAAATTATCTTGCGTGTGGAACTTTTCACTTGCAGGACTTGACTAATGAAGAAATAAAAGCAAAAATCTTTCCTTATTCATTAGGTGGAGGAGCTACTAAATGGCTAGAGCACCAGCCGGTGAACATCTTGAGGAATTGGCCAGAATTTTTGAAAGCATTCCTTACTTATTATTACCCTCACGGAAAGTCGTATACATTAAGAAGGAAAATCAATAGCTTTGGACAAAGAGAAGGTGAGTAATTGGTAGATGCATATATAAGGTATCGTGAAATAATCTTTGCATGTCTTGAACACCATTATCCTTATTACTTAATTGTTAACTTCTTTTATGGTGGACTTGACTCACAAAGTAAACAAGCTTTAGATCTTGCTTCTAGAGGTTCTTTCCTACGAACTGAAATATCAGAGGCTTGGAGCTTACTTGACATGATGAGGTATAATGCTGAGAATTGGTACCTTTGTTAAAAGGAAAAGTAAGGTTGATCATGTTTATGATAGTATTAAATCTTTCCTTATAACTTCAAAAGTAAAAGACTTACGTCATGAGTTAAATGGTGGAACTGACCCCATGTTGTATGTTTTGAAAGATTTTTCTAAGTTCTTGAATTTACCAGAGAAAAAGTACTTGAAACGCAATAGGGAGTCTAAAGCTATTCACATGGTGGAGGCTATAAAGAAGAAGACTACTCCACCTAGAGAAGGAAAGAAGATCATCATAAGTCAAATGGCAGGAAGCCAGAGGGAACCCCTTTAGCTAAAGGGAAGAGGAATGTCAAGTTAGAACAATGTGGGCCTCCACCTTATGTCGATATAGTAAAAGAAGTTGCTACACCTATACCAATGGTGAACAAAGAAGTCCACCTAGACAAAGATACAACTTCTTATCTTAAAGGTTGTACCGAAGGTAAAGATGCAGGTAAACAAATTTTATCATGTTCCTTCAGGTGCAAGTCCTATTTTGGGTTATGTGGCCCTGGTTCCCCAATCAATATTATTCCTTATAGCCTTTATGCAAAAATCTATAATGAGATTTCTCCTTGTACTCTTGAGCCCACTGATGTTGTTATTAAGCTTGCAGACAAAACCGATAGGAAACCTTGTGGTATCCTTAAAGATGTCAATATTATAATAGGCTCGCTCATTTATCCTATTGATATTTATGTACTAATGATCTCTGAGGATAAAGATTGCCCTATTGTTTTTGGAACTTCTTTATGAATGTTGCATGAGCATAAATCAAGAAAAAGTCTATCTCTATGAAGTGGGGAGATGAGATGATCAAATTCCCATTTTCCTCTGTATTATGCAAGCCATATGAAGAAGAAGCTCAAGATAAAGAAGAACAGAAAGTGAATCAATTGGGAGATTCGTCTCCAAACACCAAAGATGAAGTTGAGCGGGTATTGGTTAGGCCTGAATCCTTATTTGAGGATGGAGAGAAGGAGGAAATTGAAATGATAATGGACACTACTCCAATAGTTTGCCCGCGCCTGAATAAAGTCTATGGGGTGCTTGAAAGAGAGGGGGATGAGGAACTATCTCCTCCTACTTTGAAACCCTTACCAAGGGTTGAGGTTTGAATTTATGGATAATACAGAAAGATTCCCTATTATTGTTAATGCCGACCTTTGAGGGGAAGAAAAGGAGAAATTATTGGTGGTGCTAAGCAAGCATCATAAGGCTTTAGGCTACTCAATGAAGGATGTGAAGGGGATAAATCCATCCATTTATTCTCATGCTATCCCTATTGAGGAAGGTGCTAAACCCGTAATTGAAAGCCAACAAAGACTTCATTCGGCTTCCAAAAATGTGGTAAGAAAAGAGGTAATACGTCTCCTCGATGCAGGGTAATCTACCCAATATCTGATAGTAAGTGGGTAAGTCCGGTCCATTGCATTCCTAAGAAAGGTGGAGTTTCTTTAGTGACTAATGAAAATAATGACCTAGTCCCTACTAGGGACGTTATTGGGTATGGAATGTGTGTTGATTTCAGGAAATTAAATAAATGGACTAAGAAGGATCATTACCCGTTACCGTTCATAAATGAGATACTTCAGAGGTTGGCCAACAATTCTTATGTTTGCTATCTTGATGGATATTCTGGGTTTTCACAAATACCAATCCAGCCCGAGGACCAAGAAAAGACTACCTTCACCTGCATGTACTATACATACGCATATCGTAGAATGTCGTTTGGTATATGTAATGGACCACCTTCATTTCATAAATGCATTTCTAAAATTTTCCATGATTTTATTGAAAAATTGTCGAGGTTTATGGACAATTTTTCTGTTCATGGTACATCCTTCGATAATTGTCTCTATAATCTTACAAAAAAATTGCAGTGATGTGAAGAAACATGTTTTGTGCTGAACTGGGAGAAGAGTCACTTCATGGTCACATAAGGGGTAGTGTTGGGGCACAGTCTCAGGAAAGAGCATCGAGATAGATCAAGATAGAATTGAGGCAATAGAGAATTTACCTTACCCCCGAGACATAAAATGTATGCAAACTTTCATGGGACATGCTAGTTTCTATAAAAGGTTTATCAAAATTTCTCCAAAATATCAAAACCTTTGACTGACCTCTTGCACAAAGACATGGCATATTCTTTTGACAAAATTTGCGTGCAGGCATATGAAAAACTAAGAGACGCATTAATCATGGCTCCTACCATCCAACCTCCAAAGTGGGATGAATTCTTTAAAATTATGTGTAATGCTAGTAATTATACTGTTGGAGCTGTCCTTCACCAGCGAGATGATAAAAAACTTAATGTTGTCTTTTATGCTAGTCGGAGCTTGGATGAGGATCAAATACATCTAGCTACCACTGAGAAAGAGTTGCTTGCCATTGTCTTTGCACGTGATAATTTCCGTCCTTACATTATTTTCTGGGATGTATGTGGTGGGCGCCCCTGAGAGCCCTGCCCGACGCTGTTGGGTTTTTCTACGCCCGCCTATGATAGGCATTCCTGCAGTAATGTGCTTTTCTTTTCTTTTCACTGAGTTGTACTACCTCTGTCCTTGTTTATTGGTCCCCTTCACATTTCGTGCCAGATTTTAATTATAGATTTAACTAGCAAAATATTAATGCATGTACCCAAAAATAATATCACTGAAAGCTACGTTCAAATACTCCTTTTTTTTGTGGATGTACGTTCAAACATTATATCCTTTGATTCCTTAAATACGAATCCAAGGATATAATTTTTGATGACATGCATTATTATTTTGTTGTTAAATCTACAGTCAAAAATTGACACAATATACTAAGGAGATCAATAAACAAGGACGGAGGTAGTAATGGCTATGAAGCCAACCCTCCTCATTTTGGACTATGTTGACTTGTATTCGGGTGTAAACCCTAGCCGGCGGTGGCGTGCTAAACTACTTTTCCCTTTTTTCCCCAAGCAATAGAACCCTGGGCCAAGCTCTCACTTCTTTCTGAAATTGGTTGATTTGAGTGTTAAATCCAGTAGTTCATAGCCCGGGGCTTGACATGGAGGGAGTAGGTCGGAAACGGATGATGCCAATATACCTGGAATGGAAGACGCGCTAGAGGATACAAAGATAACCGAGCAGGGAATGTAGTTGTACTTAATGTTCGGTGTTAAAACTGTTGCTTACCTCAAACTTTACAGGTATTCAAACAGAAGGAAAATATCTGATCTTGAATTCCTCTGAATACAACCACGACGGATATCTGACGCTCAATACTAACCCTGTACTGCACATATTCACATTCACTAGAGATATTTGAACTTGTCGCTATTTCATACATCTAGGCATCAACCTGACTACTTTACATAAAGAATAATGAATACAATATACAATTGAAACTTCTATCTAACAAACTACGGACAAATCATCTGGATACTACCCGTATGCTGGAGGCATGCCGCTTCAAGAATGAGCTCAGTTGGTTCCACAGGGAAATTTGGGAACCGAAGAGCCGCACACTAACTGATTTCTTGGACCCTGTCCTAACAAACTCCAGCTCCCTCGATACACCATGTTCTTCAAAGCTGGAATCTTCAAGAAATGGGAGGTCAACTGAACCCTCAGACTCCACATTCTTAAGCCATCCTCGGAGCAAATAGTTTATAACCTGACCAAAGAGAAAAGATCAGCGTTCATCATCATTGAAATGGAACTCACTAGCCATGACTGTAAACCCCTGTTGGTGTCACAGCTTTGACTTCACGACTGGTGTAGTTTCTAACAAATTAAAGACCCATGACAACGTAAAATTTGCTTTGGCTGGGCGGCGGACTTGGTAGAGCGAGGCTGGGCGGCCGCCCTACCTTGATTTTTGGCACGAACAGTTATACCTATATGCTGCGTATGAATCGTGCCTAGCTGCGTTAGTTAGAAAATCCTGCCCCGCTGAGAAGAACAGAAGAACGATGGAAGGGCTGGTTGCATCGTGCACATGGGCCACGTTATTTGTACCCAGCCCGTGATCTCATATCAACGCACGATTAATTAGCCAAGTATGTCAAGCAACGCGCACACACGCACGCCGCGGGACACGACTGCACGAACCTTGTAGCGTTAGCCAATGGGCAGGGCAGGGGCCACAACGGCGGCTGAATTTGACGGCGGCAAGAACCACATGGGATCCACTGATCCAGGCCAACCTGCTGGATGTAGGTGCGCAGGCACGGCGCAAGGCGGCGCCGCTGGAAGTTGCTGACTAGGTGGTGCGGCTGGATGCCGTCGCTGCCGGTGAAGGGGAATTGGGAAGGAAGAGGTATAAATTTCTAAAATGTCTGCATTTGTGTATAATGCGAATTTGTGATTTTGAATTTTATAGTTAAAAACGATTTTCAAACTATTTTCGTATTACATCATACTTTTAGCACACTATTGAGTTCGCCCCACCTCAAAATTGACCCATCCTCCGCCACTAGTTTTTTTTTCGAAAAGGGGGACTCCCCGGCCTCTGCATCAGAACGATGCATACGGCCAAATCCTCCGCCACTAGTTAGGTTACCGAAATATCTAAGACTTGACTTAAGCCTACTAAACTTCGAACTTGACACAATGTTGCACAATAGGGCAGGTTCATGAGCCTCTAATGTGGTATAAATTTATGACTTGCGGGCGCATTGTATTATATCATTGTTAATTTCCTAGTGTGGCTGACTAGTGGGCACTATTGGTCCCATCCGTTGCAAATATAGAAGTGTAGGTGTGAAATGCTCCGCCACTGCTTAGGTTACCGAAATATCTAAGACTTGACTTAAGCCTACTAAACTTCGAACTTGACAAAATGTTGCACAATAGAGCAGGTTCATGAGCCTCTAATGTGGTATAAATTTATGACTTGCGGGCACTATTGTATTATATCATTGTTAATTTCCTAGTGTGGCTGACTAGTGGGCACTATTGGTCCCATCCGTTGCAAATATAGAAGTGTAGGTATGAAATATTATGTTTACAGAGTACAGTTCTGTGAATGGGTTGCTTGAGTATAGTTTTGAAGTGGCTGCTTAAAGTATAGTTTTGACAAAAGAAATGTAGTTCGGTGATATTTACTATAAAAACAAAAGGCAAAATTTACAAACATATTTTTATATTTTATTTATTCGAACTCGCTTTAGGTTTAAATTTGAAGAAAAAATTGACGGATAATGCACAGGTCCAGCAAAGATCTTCTCAAATTTTCGGATTGTTAACTGTCGATTTTAAAGTTACATGTTTATAGCATGATGGTAGTTTGCTCTAGATATATGTTTGTACCTTTATGAACGATCAATGGGAGTATATTGTATAAATACAAGGGGGGGACTATAATTTCTACACAGCATGCGATAGTTACCTCAGGAACCTCGTCGTGAGGACAGTGACCGGCAGGGCTGATTTCATAATAGGGTGCTTCTGGCACCTGCTGCTTGACTCTGATACCCCAATAAGGTGTAACCCAAGGATCTTCTTTCCCATACATAAGGGAAATGGGAATGTCCTGCTTTTGGCACCTGCAGATGATCAGTGTTAAAGTGGAAACTGATATTTGTAAGCAATAGAGCCATTCATCAAGTTGGGTTTTCCATCTCACCTAGATAGTGCCTCCTGAAAGGATATCTGGCCCATTGGAGCAAACATAATGGAGGCAAATGATGCAGCAGCTGCTGGGTGTTCTGTTGTCTCTATAATACGTGAGAACACCTTGTCAACATTTGTTGAGTGATCAGCATATACTTGCCTGAGTATCTTCTGTATACTTCTTGGGTCGCTTATCTTCTGCCACCTGTATCACAAGGGATCAATGGGCTATCCAATTTGTAGGATCCAATGCATGGATAACAAACATAATTCTAATGATCCTATAATTATGCATAATAACCATGATATCCTAGTATGTGGAGAGAAATAATAGTGCAAGAATTTCAGTAAATTCCAGGCAGAAGTTCATGGTTTATATGAGTTTTTTTTTTTTGCAAGAGCTGAAGATGTCAACTTATTGCTAAACTTTCCATGTTAAAGGTTCAGGTAAATCCTGCACATACAATGCAAAAGGCATGAATCCCATAAAAAACTACAATCCATGAATCCAGCTTAGTGAACAAAAAACGTCAAGGCCCAATAATTAACAGCAGGGTAACTTTAAGATAATGCAATCTGCGTGTCGATGTTCTGAAACCTAATAAGTAACACATACACTGTTTCAGTAAGTTTCCTCACAACTGATGGAAGAGGAAATGTCCCAGCCCATGGAAAAATCTTTGACAAACGAGGAGATCTTGCAGGATTAGGAAGGAAACCCCAAAATGGCGTTGCATTAAGCAACGTGACCCCCTTTACAAGGTGTGGACTGGATGCAGCAAGATATAGAGCAACAAAACCTCCAAGAGAGTTTCCCACGATATAAACTGGTTCACCGATAACCTGCAAGAGGGTTATAAACTTAAGAGTAAGAAAAATGAGACATAAATCCAACAGTTGAAGATATATGTCGCCAAACTGGCTGTGAATAGCAAGATTCTAAATAGTATGATAACAAAAAAAGAAGTTGTAAGACTGACATAACAATTCTTGGAGACACATTAACATTTACAGCCAGCAAAGTTGAACCTGTTAACTCAAAGATCAGTTATATTCCCAGGACCTTTCTTACTCGTATGACCAAAAACCAAGAAACATTCACCAAACAGGAATCAATACATCATTTTGCTTTCATTAAGAATAGTGAGCACCAACGAAGACTTTCTTTTTTTGAAAAGGAGGTGAACCCTGGCCTCTGCAACATTGCGGCGCACACAGCCATCAAGCACCAAAAAAGATGATCACATAGCGTTCCAACTGGAACATTCCCGAGTAAGGAAGAACTCGATTATGCAACCATGACAGAGTTTGAATATACATGATATATGTGATTCTTGACCAGACCACCATAACAACATTTTCACAAGTCTATGTATAGATGTATAGTATTAAGAAATACCTAGATAATCAAATTATCCTGGAAATCCATTCTTGGTATCCGTTACCACTTGATGATCTAACAACAACCACTCATGATGAAAGTAAAACAGCTAACTTGCTCCCTAAAAAAACTAACTTGCTAATTATTTCAGGACTTCCAGAGAGTGCAAAGCACACGAAGATTTGTTAACTTGAAAGACATATTAGCACAAAGCCAAAAAGAAGACTGGATGAAACAACAAATATTCCAAAATGGTACCTCTTCAATGAAATGCTGGACCTGGTCACGCCACAAGTCTACAGAGTACACCAATTCATCTGCCCATGGTTGCGAATCTTGTCCAAAACCCCAATATGATTCCTCATCCTCCTCCCCTGCCATGGCCTTAGGAGCAGGGTCTTCACACGGCAATGACATTCCCTGTCCCAGAAAATCCATCGTCCACACCTTGTAATCACGGCCAAGATCCATCAATTGCTTCTCAAAATGGAACGTGCCCACCCCAAAACCTGGTAGAAAAAGCACTGCTGGCGCCTTGCTATTCTTGGTGCCAGACTTCTCGTAGTATACCGTCAGCTTCGGCTTCCACTCCCACAAACCAGTGCTGATTTGAGAACTGTCTGGCCCTTCTGGCAGGCCAGGAATCGCCACTTTCTCGATCTGGCCTACCTTCTTGGAGATGCCCTGGAGGGCAGCATCGACATCGCTTACACCGAAGCTGCGGCTGACATTAAGCTTTCCTGAATCACCAGGATTTGAAGCTCTCCCAACACAGAGAACTGAGCTTTTTCTTGGCCGAGCAAGCTTGGTATGCCGCGGACCAAGACCAGTGCCCAGAGACCTCCGCGCACTGGTAGGGGTTTGATGAAATGCCAAGCAAGAGTGACTGGAAGAAACCACTTCCATGGCCGCTTCCGTAGCTAGCACACCGGTTCTGCAACAGAGGAGCGAACAAAATTTACAGAGTTGCACAGGAACGAAGAATTCCACAGGCTATATGGGATGGGGATATGGTCGGAGAAATGAAAGCAATACTTTTGCCGTCATATATGAGAGATCCAATGGAGTTAAGCTAAACAAGGATCCGAAACAACACTTCGATTCAGCAGTTAACAACTTAACTGAATCCGACTCTGACGAATGACCGATTGTATGCTAATTACTCTGACAAAAGGCAGCACCAGATTGGTACCATTTTCTTACACGAAAATGATAGGTGCTGTATGAACAAGCAGGGGCGGACCTAGCGTTAGGCATGGGAGTTCAGTTGAACTCAAATTTTCTTTCGTTTAAGCATGACTTGGACTGGATGGCTCACGTGAAAAAAGGAAGAACGCCAGAAAAAAAACACTGTAAAAAACAGTCGGAGCAAGTTAGGGTTCCTCACCAGCAAAAGGAGTCGGTCCAGCTCCGGTTGGATCTCCACGCCACGGCAGCACAGTAGAGCGGAGGAGGAAGAACACCTTCCAGGTGGCGTGCTTCAGTGCCCGAGGCGTGTTTGGCGGAGGACGGAACAGATGTACTAGTAATGAAGGGCGAGGACCGAGGGGGGTAGTTTTGATCTGGAAGGCCTTGGTGCACCATCAAATTCTTGCGTTCAGATCGCTCCTACCGAACCCATTTTGCGTCCGGGTAACTCCTACCTCCGCTTGTCTTCTTCCCCCTCTCCACATCCCGCTCCTGGCTCCGCAGCTTCCAACCCCGTCTCCCTCGAGCCTCGACCACTCGTTCTTCCCACTCTCCACGGAGATACCCCACCAACCCGTCGGAATATCTCATGGACGGCACGGGGTGGAGCCACCTGTCTTGTACCGGAGGTTTGCCGCGCATAATTATGCACGTGTTCTTCACAGAACATTCACACCCACACAGATGATTCCACAGTCAATACTAGTATCTCCAGCATCTAGAAAACGAGTACCTGGAAAAAAAAAATCTTACAATTTAGAACAAATGTGATAATCTTTTTGGATTTTCAGTTTTTAAAATATTTTATCTCTTAAATGAAAAATCTAACTGAAGATCCGTTTTCACCATTAAATCACTCGCGACGAGATCTTATATCAATATATTTTGACGATTTTTTTTCAGGTTAAAAGTTGTCATGTCTATTGCACATGAATTGCCATGACATTTACATTGAAGTTGTCATGATATATTTCAGCTATTTTCTTCTATATTTAAAAGTAAATTTTGACATTTATAAATCGGGGAATTAAGAAACTAGACTTGTCATGAACCATAAACTAAAATTGCCATGATACATGCACTTAAAATTGCCATGGTTCATAAAAAATAAGTTTGATGGTCAAAGCACTGGAGTTGTCATCATCAAGATACTAAAATTGACATGCTCTACAAATTGAAATTGCCACATGGCAACTTTAGTTTAAGCACTATGGCAACTACAGTGTAAACATCATGGCAACTTTTGGGTAAAAAAATTCATCAAAATATATCAACATGGGGTCTAGTTTTGAAGATCTCGCCGAGACGGATTTATTGGTGAAAATTTAATTTAATTTTTTAATTAGGAGATAAAACATTTTTAAGCCAAAAACCAAAAAGATTCATGTTGATGTCATCTGCTCACATGTGGCAAAATAAGTGGTAAAGTAGGCGTGTGGGCGATGTGCAAGATGCTACACGTGTGGGCGTTAGTTTTTTCCACAATTTAAACATGTTGTGGAATCATCTGCTATAACCGATCAGTTTTCTGAAAAAACAAAAGTCAGTAGGACAGCTGGTAAGATTTCATTGAAGAAGAAGAAGTCGATGGTCTACGGGCGGATGTTCTGTGCAGTTTGGGTTGTGATTGTTTGGGTCCTATGGCGTTGCGGCTTCCGTGCAAGCGGTGGATGTCGGGCAGCGGCCCTAGAGGGTGGTGATGGCAGGTTGTGCATGACATGACAGATAGGTGGATGTCAGGGTGTTTGCCTCTTTCACCATCGAAGTCGGCGGGAGGGGGGCAGTCTTGCTCCTCCCATAGCGGCTTGGTTTCTCTCCCCATAATAGGCGGTGATGGTGGGTCGATGTGTTTGGCATTGTGTTTTGTCTTGGGTCTCGTCGATTTGGCGGGCATGGGAGTCTTTATCTCATTTGTATTTGGTTTTCATCCGGTTGTCCCTGATAAGCTGGACAACTATGTTCTTCCATAAGAATAGACAGAGCTTCTGCCAATTTCTCAAAAAAAAACACTGATGGTTGAATACAAATGATCAAAGAATAAAAGGATCCAAAAAGACAAAATAAACAAAATCGTAGTAAAAGGACTTGTTGGGGATATAATTATTTACGTAAGCCGCCCAGGAAGGGCCGGGTTACGCAAAGAGAAGCCCATCTGAAGCCCAAGACCAAGATGTGAAGATGGCGGTTCAGTAAAGGGTCTAAAGGCCCACAGACGATTTAGGGCCCATGGTGATAAACCGCCATGAGGGCGCGACTTGTATTGTAAGGTAGAAATAACTAGTCACCGAGCCGGACACTGTTTATGAGCCGGCCGGGACTCTGTAAGCCGTAGGGCATCGACCCGTGTATATAAGGGGACGACCCGCTGGCGGCTTAGGGACAGAAGAAACAAGAGATTGAGAACCGGGCATAGCGTATCTCGCTCCCTGGTCATCGAAACCTCAAGCAATTCCAACCCAACTAGACGTAGGCCTTCCTTCACCGTAAGGGGCTGAACTAGTATAAACCTTGCGTGTCCTTTGTCCCGATTAACCCCTTTAAGCTTCCTAGCTGCGATGGCTCCACGATCAAGTCCTTGCAAGAGGACATCTGCCATGACAATTCCACGACAGTTGGCACCCATCATGGGGCCAGCACACGGTGGATTTGAGTTCTTAAAGGGCAGCTTCGAAGGGCTCAAGGGATACGCAGTTGGCCGGATGACCAAGAGTCGTCGCGGCAAGATCTACATCGACGATGAAGGTTGAGGCCCCGACGCCGGCTCAATTGAGTACGGCTACCGGGTCCCCTTTGGCGGAATTCACGTCTTCATCAGCCGGATTGGTGAGCCGGGCCCTGAGCCGGACAGCTGCACCGACCTCGTCGAGACGGTTCAGCGTGCGAAACCTGCCCGAGCTCAACCCGTCGTGAAGCGTGCCTTTGTGGGTTGCATCCATGGAGGTGAACTTCCTGAAGGATCTGAAGGTGATGGTGAGCTGGCTGTCCTCTCTGACGGTGATTCATCCGCTGGCTCAACAGATTTGTGGGTTGCATCCATGGAGGTGAACTTCCTGAAGGATCTGAAGGTGATGGTGAGCTGGCCGTCCTCTCTGACGGTGATTCATCCGCTGGCTCAACAGATTCGCTGTATCAAGTTCAAGATGGTGTGCTTGGGGGCTGTTCCGATGGCAGCACTATTCCGGACCTCTCAGAGTCGCCAAACTAGGCAGGAGTCTTCATGGCTGGTACTCTACCCGGCCAAAATTCTACGGCCTCAACGGCGATAACGTCCGGGTTAGGAGCAGCCGGGGCAGGAGGCCCCGTGTGCTCACCGGCTCAGGTGCTGATGGATCTCATGGATAAGCTTACGGCTTTATTAACTGTTACAGTCATCCCTGCGAACCAATCTGAGTATGAGGCAAAGGTGGCACAGGTTCGCGACGAGATCGCCCGAGTCAAGGAAACCTTAGCAGCTGAGGACGCTAGATTAGCAGCAGAGCGGGCGGCTTTGGACGTACGGGCGCAGCAACTTCAGGCAGAGGCCTTGCAGCTCACGTTGAGCTTAAACACATCTAATGAGGTAATGAGGAGGAGACATCAGAAAACTCAGTCCCGCTTACCTCAGAATTATGATCCTCGGAATCTCTTTGCTACACCCGGGGCCGGCCCAAGTAACCCGCCAGGTGCGAATCAGCTTATTACATCCGGAGCGGGAGGTCCAGTCCAGCCTCAGGGGATGGCACCTCCTCACGGCAATATGACACCGCCCAATTACGTACCAATACCACAGGGTCACTTCTCCAACCCCATGGAGAACTTAATCGCAGCGTCAGCACATTTGGCAGCTCTCCCAGTAGATGGGGATGATCCGACAGCGGTGGAAACCCGGAAGATCAGAGAACTTGTCCAAACAGCCCTGGCTCAGCAAGAGACCTACTCCTACAGCCGGGATAGGATTCACTCGACTCCTCCGCCCTGGTTAGCCCCGCCTCGTCAAAATCGGAGCCCGAGTTACAGTAGACACATGGAGTCAGAGGCCTTGTCAAGTAACGCTCAACGCCGGAACCAGCCCGGTAGGTATAACCCGGTTCAGGATCGGATACGTCAGGAGGACGAGCGGGCGGCTCAGCTAGCGGCTCAGCTAGCAGCCCAACAGAACTCACCGGCTTACCCGACGACTTCCGTTGAGGCGGGAGTTGCTACTAGAATCGGAGGAGTTCCTTGTCTGGTACCGGCTCTACGTAATGTATGTCTGCCCAAGGATTTCAAGGGACCTCGGAAGGTGCCGAATTATACGGCCGATTTACAGCTGGGGCATGGATTGAAAGTTACGAGATGGCTATGGAGCTGCTGGAGGTTAGTGATGAAGCGATGGCTAAATATTTCACCATGATGTTCGACGGAACGGCCCGTTCTTGGTTAAAGGGTTTGCCACCCAACTCCATTAGTTCATGGGCGGAGCTAAAGGCCTGTTTCATCCAGAACTTCAAGGATACTTGCAAGCAGTCTATGTCAATTGTGGATCTGACAAATTGTAAGCAGGAAGAAGGTGAATCTACGACTCATTGGGTGCGCCGGGTCAAAGATATAATACATTCGTCTGATAAGATGGATGCCGGCTCAACAGTTCTCATGCTGGAGAAGAATTGCCGCTTTGAGCCTCTGAGACAGAAGCTGGGGCGCCTTAAGCGTGATTGCAACGATATGGGGACGCTGATGGCGGCTTTAGTCAAGTATGCCGATTCTGATAGTACCAAGGACCCCGCGTCTGATGATGAAAAGACGGGGAAGGGAAAGAAGAACGGTAATGGAAAGGGTCAACAGCATAACCCAGCAAGTCAAGGAGGCAATAAGTGTAAGGCGGATGGTAACCCGGAATTTGTGGCCAATGCATAGGGTAACAATCAGAAGCGCAAAGGGAAGCCGCCCCGGTTTGGTGGGTCAGGACCGTCTCTTGAGCAACTACTCAATGAGCCCTGCCCGAAACACGGAACCCGGGAACGACCAGCGACTCATTTATGGAAGGATTGCGCAATCATGAAAGCTTTCAAGAATTCTAATACGTTTGATGGCAATCAAGGCCCAAGCGGCGGCTCAGGAGCCGGCGGCTCATGGCCTGGGCGGTGGTTCAGGATCCGGTTTTCAGGGAAACCAGGGTGGTTATAATCAACAGCAGTCTGGTCAAGGAGGTCAGCAGCAGCAGCAGTCGGGTTATCAGAGCCATCCAAAACAGTTAAACAGTGGGCAGTATCATGTATTCACCACAAGTTTGTGTAAACGTGATCAGAAAGTTCATAAGAGGGCTGTGAATTCTGTTGAACCAGCTGTCCCTTGTTACTTGAGGTGGTCGGAATAGCCTATTGTCTGGAGCAGGGAGGATCACCCTCCCCGGGTTGATAATCCGGGTCAACTAGCCCTAGTGGTGGCACCGCAGGTTGGTGGGTATAAATTTACTAAGGTGCTCATGGATGGAGGTAGCAGCATCAACATCCTCTATTACGAGACCTTTCGGCGCATGGGCTTAACTGACAAGAATTTAAAGACTTCCAACACCGTCTTCCATGGAGTGGTGCCCGGTAAGTCGGTGTATCCTGTGGGAAAGATTGAGCTAG